TTATCCCATGCTTTTGGACTAAAATAAGTACACACATTAAAAACTAAAGAGCTGAAAGGAGTACTCTACTTAACTTGTGAGCAGCTATGTAAAATGTTGGAATTGTTCAATGTGATTTATTTTATCAGGGAAAATGCTATGTAAATTTAATTGATCCTACTTTGAAAACAGTCTTAAATTATCTCTCCCATTCTGAAAAGTTTTTTTCTCTCTCTCCTTCTCTCTCTAGGGCAAAAATTATCTTTACAAAAAACAAACCCCAGAGGGAATTTTGTGGTAGCAAAGTTCTCTTGAGTGTTAATTATTTTGTTTTCCCAACCCAGCCTCCTGTGAGCTTTTCATTCAACTTAGAAATGTCATGATGTGTGAAGATTTGTTTATTCTTTGGAAGGAGATATCACAGAATGGAAATGTTCCCTCCTCCAGTACATTTTTTTAAAAATTGTAGCATATACAAAAAGAAAACTGAAGTCCACATTTTACCTAGACTGTTTTAAACTTGAGGAAAACTCTGAATTTGTAATGGCACACACTAGGATCAGAAATATACAGGGAACAGCTGCTGCCTTGCGGACATGAACCACAGTCACGCAGCTTTTGAAGTCTCTGTTGCTTCTGTGGGGAGGGGGATGTGTTTATTGTTGGTAACTTTCCAAGTGCACGTTTGATGCCAGGGATCTTGGCAAGCCTTGGTTACTAAGTCTGAGTCCAAATCTTTGGTACCATGCTCCAAGCCCCAAGCCCTATTAAAAACAAAATTTCCTCAAAAAAGAAGAAGAAGAAGAAGAAGAAGAAGAAGAAGGAGAAGAAGAAGAAGAAGAAGAAGAAGAAGAAAGGAAAAGGCGGGTGGGTGGGTTCTGAGTCTCAAGTTGAGTTTGAGTCATTGAAAAAAAAAATCTGAGTCAAGTCCAAGTCTGGTGCAACTTAAGTTTTAACTTGACAGTGTGTCCCGCGTCTCGAGTCCCCATCCCTGTTTGATGCTATAGTTCTGTGGCTCTCATGATTTCATGTGTTTTGTAGCTTTATTGAATTATCTATTTAAGTAATTGGATTTGCTTCCAATCTGTGTATCACAAACAAGAATCTGTTGCTTCCAAGACATCCATAGCAAAGGCCTGTATTCTTGGCTGTATTCTTGAAGAGGTTCATTGTGGCCATAGCCAGTTCTTCATTGATAGTGAGAGTTATGTGCAACAACATCTACAAGGCAGCATTTTGCCCACCCTTCATCTATAATGTGATCTAATTTTGGGTTTATTTATTTGTTTGGTTATTGACTGATGACCATTCTATCCCAGCTTTCTTCCACAGAGCACAAGGCAGCATAAGAGGCTTTCTCTTCCCCATTTATTTTCACAGTAAGTTGTGAGGTAGGCCAAGCTCATGTTTGTGGGAAAGTGAGAATTTGACTCCAAGTCTTTTGAGTCCTACTGTAACATGTCAAGCGCTACATCAAACTGTCTATTATACCAATATAGCAGGGTGATATGACCTGCTCCAACCCGGTGGCACAATGCGAGGGAAATAGACAAAAGCAGGAACTGGTGCCTAAATGATGCAGCAAGGCTTTAAAAAACAGTGGCTAGAATCCTGTTGGATTTTTACCCTAGAGTAAATGAAATTGTGCAAGAAATTGTGGTAAATCACAGCTTATTAACAAAGTTCCAGTTGCATGCCCGATTAGAGACTTTCTTAATTAGTTGCAATTCACTGCCATAATTTTTATCATTTACTCAAGAATAAAAACCCAATATCCAATTTGGAAATCCCAAATAAGATTTCCACTGTGGTGGATGGGGTTGGTTCCATTTCAGTTCTGTTTCAGGTAGAAAGGCATCTTGCGATAGTGTTGCATTAGACTGCTCTGTGAGTCAGAAATGAACTTTGCTCCTTTGACAACTTTCTTTAACAAATGTGAGTTTAAGAGATAGCCATGAACAGCCTTGAGTCCCTGCTGGATCAGATCACTGTTCTTACTAGCCTGTCATTTCAGAAGGTATTTGTTTTTTGTTTTTTAATTTGCAACCACAGAGAAAAGTGTCCTTTGTTACCTTAAAGACTCATACATGTATTCCAGTAGAAAGGTTCATAGATGATGAAAAGGCTGCATCATCAGACGCCATAAGCATTTTCCTCATTTCCTCTGCGTGATCACAAAGGACACACATTGTTGTAAAATTTTAGGTTTTATGTGAGGGAAATCCCCATGATAAAGCTGCAGGTTTTGGCAGGGGTTGGAAGGATGTATCCTGAAGCCAGCATACAAAACAAAGATGAGGCTTTGTTGAATTACTTTTAAAAATTATTTTTAATGAAGAAATAATTCCATTCCAAAATATAGACACACAATTAAATAGTTTAATCACTTCAAAATATAACATGTCCCCAGTAGGCTTGAACACACGCACACACACAGAACAATACTTAACAATACAAAAAAACCCATACAATAATAGTTCTGTTTACAATAGCAATGAATAATGCAAAATTTGTAATGTGTATCTGTCTGGACTGGTGTGAAATAACAGTAGTTAAAACATCAGACAGTTAGTAGCCTCAAGGTGTAACTCTTCATACATTTTTGGTTCAGAAGTAAAAATGCCCTCTTTTCTCAGGACACAGTGGCGTGCTTGATGTTCAAGGCTCTTTGCACTGAATTGAACCAACCTAATTGTTGCAACCTGAAGTTGCAGTATTTACAAGATATATCTACAGCAGTTCCAAGAAACTAATAAGAATGGGAGAAAATGATAAAAGTAAAAGCAGACATCTATGCTAAATAATGATGTAACATTTTGTCTCATGCATATAAGAAAATACATATTATCACAACAAAGGCCACACACCTTTTAATGCAGTTTTCAGTTAACATTACTACTTACAGAGAATCTATCCTCTATCTTTTCTTTCGACATTCAGGAATTCTCTCTGTCTTCACATTCTGATTTCTGCCTCTAAATCACCTTTCCATTGACAACTCACAAGGAGTTTTTGGCTGAAGAAATTGGCTCGTAAAGAATTATACAAGGCCAGTTCAACCATTTCCGTCACTTTAATGTTCACAATTCACAATCTAAACCAAGTTTAACAGACAAAGACCAAGTGAGCTAAAACCATAGGCCCATATGGGCAGAACTCTCACCTGACCACTCTCCTGCATGCACATAAGCATCTGTATGTGAACTACAATGTGTACCACCTCCCTTGCATGCTTGTTTCACAAGGCATCCACACCTATGTGTGGCTGAACATATATGCCTGAAGTCCAACCTCAACAGTACAAGAGATATTCCAAACAAACCTGGGCCTATGGTGGGTTTTTAACACATTAAAAATCCAAAAGTTAAATGCCTCCATATTGATGGCTGGTGGCCTTGGAGATTGGATAGCTGTGCTGGCTGGCACATTCCCACTTACCCATCATATACTGGGAGAGAAATCAGGGGAAAGTATTGCCCTTGTTGGGCCATTGCAGCTTAACAGTTGAGTAATGTAGAAAAAGTAGATTTTGGCTTTGGCAAGGCAAATTAAAAAAGTGCTTCATCTTGGAGTTTCAGAGTATGAGAGGCCACCTAGAGCTCTGCTTGGGGATGCTGGGCTGGAACCAGGCTGAAAGAATGGTACTTGGGTTGTGAATACAATAATAGTGTTACACACATCTTGCACTGGTTAGGCTCATGCATGGCTCTGAACATGCAGTAAGTAAATAAAAGATGGCATTAAAGCAACATGGTTATTACTCCAACTGCAGTTATGTAGCTGACTGGGATTGTTCAGGTGTAGCTGTGTTCTAGTCCATTTAGCCTCTCTTCAGGAATTACCTGGCTGAGGTCCTAAGCTGTCAGCAAGATTTCCCAATATACAGTAGTAGTTTTCTCTGAGGAGTGCTAGGCACTAGTAGAGGGTAACCAGTTCCTGAGAGAAGGGTGTAGGAGAGGTAAGCTGTGACAAGTTATGTATCTACCATGTTGGATTGGCAGATATTATATGAGTAAAGATTAGTTATTGCAAAGGTGGGGTGAGGGGGTGTCCAAATGTAAACATATTTTATTTTCTGCAATTGTCTGAACTCTGTGAATTCTAAATGTAACTACTTAGAGATGGTGCAGAAATATATACAAGGAGGAAGATGGCTTGCAGAGCCCCTGTAGTGCAGTGGTTAAACTGCAGTACTGCAGTCATGCCTCTGCTCATGACCTGAGTTCAGTCCTGAAGGATTCAGGTAGCTGCCTCAAGGTTGACTCAGAATTCCATCCTTCTGAGATTGGTAAAATGAGTACCCAACTTGCTAAGGGGGCAAAGTGTTGTTTGCATAATTATATTGTAAATCACCCAAAGAGTTCTTTAGCAGTATGGGGTGGTATGCAAGTCAAAGCAACAACAACAATTATCTGCATATGTGAAAAGTTACCAGTAACAATTTAATTCAAATAAGCTTTGTCTAATGTTTATCACTGGAGAGGAGGTCTTCATATTCATAGACCAATGTGAAGCCCGCCAACACAGGTGGCCGGCCTGATTACCTCCCACCCACAGAACCCGACAGTCCACTTACAGTGCATTGCATGTCGCATATGGCTGGTGTTATTGTCAACACACCAATTGCGGCAGGAGCCCAGCTGCTGCAGTCTCATCTCCCTGCCCACCCGGCCACTCCACAGCTTAGTGGGGAGACCTGTCCTCCCACTCCCTTGCCAGAGTGGTTGGGTGGGTAGGGAGACGAGGTTGTGGCAGCTAGGCATTGCTAGCTGCAATGCTACTGCATTGATGATGCTGGCCACGAACACCACATGCCATGCTGTACGTGGGCCGGTGGGTTCTGGGGCTGGGAGTTAATTGGTCTGGCCTCCTTTGCCAGCGGGCTGCATATTCATATACAAATACGAAGCCCCCATCTCTAATTATCACCTTCAAATTCCAATGATCGTTTACATTTCCTATTCTGGCAGGCTATACACATGCTTTTTAGAAGAGCCACTGTCAACAACAGGACCCATTTCTAAGAAACCTGGGGTTGAAATAATTGGGTTCTAATTAATGTCTGGTATTAGCAATGTTGCACTATATATGAAATAGTTTAATGGCACCCTGGCAATTTTTAAATTATTTACTATTCTCTTCCTAGTTTATGGATAGTTGATGCGAGTAGTTACTACATAATTAATCATATAGCAATGGCTGAGTAAAATCATTGCAACATTTTCTTGTTCTTTTAAAATCCTAGTGGAAGCAAAGGCCTGTGATCTTCCTCATCCCTAATGCAGTTAAAAGAGAATGTTAAGAGTTACTTAAAGGGACACTGTTGTAATTATGTATCTTTTTTAAGGACACGTTTCCCCCCCTGTGCTTTTCACAGATAGCTAAATCCCCATTCAACCTTGAAAGGAAGTCTCACTACACATTTCCAAAAATGCATGCAGAACATCTGGTGGCTGGCTAAGGCAATGCACATTCAGAAATAAAAGAAAACAGTTGCAAGCGCACTTTTAAAGCTTATACATTTAAAGCTGAAGGCCTCAACAAACAGTATATGAACAATGGAGAAATATGAAAGAACACATGCTCACTAAAGTCCTAAAACAGCAATTAAACAATATTATGAAAGATTATACATAACATTAGTTTAGGGATTTTATGGCACCTGTGGTTTATAAACAGCTTTAGCAACTAGTATTTCAAAACATAGTTCACAGTTTTAAGAAGATCTGTGCTGATTTTAAAAACTAGATTCTATATCATTTGAATGCTGCCTTTTGTATATGATATCTATTTGGAAAGAAAATATTTACACTTACTTCTATGGCTGATTTGTTAGATTTATCTGAAAGAAAACATTCCTAAGTTATGTAGTAGCCCTAAATCATAGAGATACTTAGTGCATTTTGTACAAGTCTGTTATTTTTTATTATTTTTAGTTTTTTGCAGAAAAATCTGTAAAACAAATTGCAATTTAAGTCTGCAATCCTGCATCTAGCCATTTGCACTGAAGCCCACTGAGATCTGTGGAATTTCAGTTCATGCAGCTGGGTTCAGGATTGCAGCCATTTTCTACTACACTTAGCTTTTGGGCTATAAATATGTACACTCAGGAGTATATTTATCCAGTGTTAAATGCATCATTGTAGCTTTTAAAATTTCATCTGTGGCAAAACAATGTACAGTGTGTAGGAAAGTGTTCTAAAATTTCAAACCATTCAGAAATTAAACTCCTAATATAAACAGTATTCTCATTGTAAACTGAACAGGTTCAAAATTATGTGCCAAGGGCTTGTGGTTTGTTAGTACCGCCATTAACAGGAACAGCAGCATTGTTCAGCTTGTGTTCTTTACTAGTAATGAGCCATGTTACATATGATGTAGCTGATATAAATTAGCTTTAAATAATAATTTAAAAAACCTTATTTGAAACAAACACCTACAAACATCAACTCGTAGAACAAAAATACTGTGCTACAGTCTCCAGATCTAGTGAATTACGTCAGAGGTGCTGTGCCGGTACTTCTTCTGTGAAGCTGGCAGACAAGCTATCTCTGTCATTAGTCTGGGTACAGCTCTCCCCTTCTTTAGTTCTTACATCACTTCTGTTGTCCATTTGACTGCAGCTTTCCTGTAAGGAAATATTTAACAGAATTTTGATGCTGGCCACTTCATAATACACAGCACTGAGTGGGCAATCATCACAGCCTAGAGCCCTTTTTTTCCAGATTTGCCACCAATTTCATGACCGCATACTCAAGGGAGATGGGCTAAAAAGAGTCATGTGACAATTTTATTTATTTATTTAGTTAGTTTAAAATATTCCTACCCTGCCTTTCTCCCAAAAAGAAACCAAGGCAGCTTACATAAAAGTAACATTATTAAAAGCTAAAAACAGTAAGTTTAAGAATAATTTTAAAAAGAAGTTTAAAATATATTTTAAAAATAGTAGACAAAAAACATTAGCACAGCAGATTTAAAAGCAACAAAAGGAGAAACAATCTGCTTTTAAAAAGAACCATCTTAGACTAAGGGACAACACGCCTGAAGAGAAAGGTCTTCGCCTGCTTGCAGAAGGACAGCAAAACCGGGCTCAGCCTGGCTTCCTGTGTGAGGGAGTTCCAGAGTCTGGGAGCAGCAACAGAGAATGTCCTCTCTCATGTCCCCACCAGCTTGTCAGGATTCAGTTTAAATGTGCTAATTTTCATCCAACCCATTACCAAAGCAGAATTGTACCAAACCCTTACATGATCTCATTCAGTGGCATCAAACAATACATAGGACATTAGTGTTGTTTGTCAATTCATCAATTTTGCAGTTGATTTCAACATGATAAATCATAATATACTTTTAGAGTAGCTTTCTGAGATAGAGATCAGGAGTAGTTCACTTCCATAGTTTGATTCCTACCTAGAGGTTCACATGATGATGTAATTCCCACAGGTAGAACAATAGCCTCCAGTGGTACCTTCTGGAGCTGAACATACTTGTTAACTAGTGACAATTTGCTTCTAAAATTCATGCCACTGCAGGTATGCCAACATAATTAAACATGGTTGTTGTGGGTTTTTCGGGCTCTTTGGCCGTGTTCTGAAGGTTGTTCTTCCTAACATTTCGCCAGTCTCTGTGGCCGGCATCTTCAGAGGACAGCACTCTGTGCTCTGGTGTGATTAAGCATAGTTAAGGATTCTGACTATTGTATCTCGTAATCTTCAAGGTGTCACTCAACTCTTTGTTATTTTCCAGCACCAAACTCTTGCAGTTGTCCCTTAGGACATAGAAGGTCAGCAAACACCTACTTGAAGAGCGTGCTAGTGGGCATATGGGTGTCTCTGTTCACCTTCAGAGAGAGAGCCAGTGGGCAATTTTATTTGTGACTGAATGGTTAGGGTCAGAGATGGAAAACCTGTGGCTATCCAGTTGTTTGAACTGCAGCTCCTTTCATTCATCACCACTGGCTAGTTGATGAAAGTTGCATCCTAACAGTATCCAGACATTGTACAACCTGTGAGTTGTGTAATAAAAAGGATGGTTTTTGGTTTACAGCCCCATTGATTTACTTTGTGTTGAAGAAACAGCAAGTTACAAGTTATTTTAAAATGTACCATATACAGAAATAAAAATCAAATGATTCTGTGAGAGTTATGAGTAGTATGGTCAATGCCCAGCTGATTGGTTAATACATGCAGAAAATTTAAATGTTGCCTGTAGGTTTTAGAGCACTGGCACCTGAATTGGGTATTTGTGCTTGAAGAAATTCCAAGAGAGTGTGACATGCAGCAGCATCCTTCACATTAAAATTTGTTTGGTTTCTGCTCTTTCTTAAGGAAATTTCCATTTTTATCAGCTTTCTGTGCCAAGAAAATTATGTGCTTTTACTTTTCAATTTTTTTTTCCCATTAGGTTTTTGGGTTTATTGTTAATTTTAAATATTGAATTGATTTTTTTTTTCGAAAAGGAGTTTGCATGATGGCAAAGGAAAGGCTGAGAGCATGACAGTTTCTAAAAAAAGAGGACATGATATTAAAAAGTTAGGGAATAAATTTGGGAAGTCACTTAAATGACCCAAAAGTTTGGAACCACTTAAAACTGCATTGTGCTAATGTTTATGTCAAATTGTTATCCCAGACCAGAGGTCAGCAACTGGTGGGATGTAAATTGCATGGGTCCTTTGATGGATATCATACATTCCATGACTGCAAATCTCCAATCTCCCTACCATACCTCTCGTTTTCTTTAAATAACCCAGACTGAGGGAGAGACATAAACACATGCAGAAGTGAGGAACCTTTTCAAAAACAGAAACACCATTTTTTGCTACTTAAGGGACCACTCTTCCTAGAACCAGATTTCTCTGAACATGTGCTTTGGCCCTGAAAGAGCAGAAGCTTCCTCTCATTGGAACTTGTGTATGCTTTGCTGCCTGTCTGAAAAAGTGAATGGGCAGGCAGGAAGACCAATTAGAATAATGGGAAAATCCATCCTTCTACTACTCAAATGCCCTTTGTTCTGCTAGCTAAAATGGGATATGGATAAAAGGCAATGGATAATTAACAGAGTGGCCAGCAGGTCCTTGACCAGATAGATGGATAAAAATAACTGATTCTACAACCTTATACCATTTCAACTCTGTGTACCATCTCACCTCTAGCAGGTTACTCAAGTTTCTTCATCTTGGAACTTTCACTACTGAAATTGCCTACTGCTGGATGAAATTTCCTTGTTTTTTCCCTCTGTCCTAAATTCTCCAGTGCTCAGCTCAAAAACAGACTGCAAGACTCAGAACTTGCCTTTTAAATCACATATTTGTAGTCCAACAAAGATATTACATGGCCCTAATTTTGAATTTTGCACATCAGGTCAAATAGCTCTATTTCATTTTTCTTTTACTGATGCACTTTGGTTATCTATACTGAATTTTAGGTAGTACAAAAGGGAAGGGAAAGCCAAAAGATGTTTAGATCTGCCAATAGCACATTCACACACTCCCAGTGAGTTGTAATCTGTTAGTTGCTGACCACAGTCTGACAACTAGCATGATACTTACTTGAGAGGAGAGTGATAACAAGGATATTCATCCTTGCAAGCTGACCTGTGAACATAAAAAAAGTGAAAACTGAAGACGTGGCCAGCCAAACCAGTGTAGCATTATGCAGAGCATGGTGAACCAGAATGGTGAGAATAGTTGGCATGCACTGATAGCACACAGGACATGAAGAATTTTGCATGGAAGAAATAAAGGTGTAAGAAGAATGCTTCAGCTAGTAGGAGTAGGGCGAGGGGAGGGAGGGACTGGATTTGTTCTTTTAAATGCAAATACTATTTCCTGTCAGTTCCAGCATGGGGTAACTCTTGAAATTCTTGTTCTTGGCCTCCAAATACTGTGTTTCATAGTATAAAATAAATGTGATTTCATTGACAGAAAATTTATATTGAGGTTTTTGGCTATAAGAAACTGTTTTAGGCATATCAAGCAAAATCCAAAGGGGAAACACTCCCCCTCCCAGCCAAAAAGACAAAAACAAGTGGCACCTTAAAGACTGACTATTATATTTGCTACTTTGTTTTATGGTAGATTTAGTGCCTTGTACACAAAACCCCATCCCTGGTGTTTAAATCTTATAATCATTCTCATATGCAGTTACTCTAATCTAGACATGGGTTCTTTGTATTTGTTTACCTGGAGATACAAATATGAATAAAGGCACCACAGGTGCAAGAGAGGCCCATTCCCTCCCTCAGAGCTGGCTGGTCTACTCACCATTCGCCGTGTGGTGCTTGGTTCTGTCATTATCGTCATGCCAATAGGGGAAGGAGCCCAGACAGCTCTTCCCTGCCTCCCCATCAGCTGAGTGGGGAGACTCCCCCTCCCACCTCTGTGTCACAGTGGTCAGAGCATTGGAGGGGGTAGCCACTGAGGTGGTGCTGGGTAGGGGAAGGAATGACAGTGGGGGTAGAACATGCCCACGTAGGAGAAGAGAAGTTAAATCTCTTTATCCCTATTTCTAGTCCCCTCTTCTAGTCCTACCCCCAACCAGATGGTATCAGGTGACCATATCAGCAAACCCTCAAGCCACATGGTGCTGTTGATGAACGCCAGATCAGTACAAAATAAGACTGTCCTCATCCATGGTGTAATTTTGGATGAAGGTGCTGACCTGGCGTGCATTACTGAGACCTGGGTGGGAGAGGTGGGTGGTGCTTCCCTCTCCCAGCTGTGTCCGCCTGGGTCCTCAGTCCAGCCATATTGCTTCCTCAGAATGTTGTCCAGCAGAGCTGTTTCAGGTGGTCCAGGATCATCTTCAACCAGGAAATCCAGTGGAGGTCCCGGACTGCTCATCAGTTCGCTGTGATGGGTTTGCCATTGATTTTGAGGGGAAAATCGCTCAGATTTGCAGTGGGTTGGACTCTACCATTACTGCAGAATCAGAGGATGTGTCCAGTGTGCCATGTTTAGGTCAAGTATTAATGGATGAGTTTCAGTTGTTGAGATCTGAGGATGTGGACAGGATGCTTGGATGTGTCCGTTCTACCACCACTCCGCTCAAACCTTGCCCATCTTGGCTAAGATCTCCCAAGGGAGTTCACACCTGGGTCCAGGAGGCCATGAATGCCTCTTTGAG